GGGTATGTACCCAGAAGTAGAGTAGATGGATCCCATGGTAATTTTGTGTTTAACTTGAAGAACCACCAGAGTTTTTTCCATAGAGGGTGCACCATTTTACATGACCATCAGCAGTGCACAAGGATTTCTCATTTCCACATTCTCACCAAATGTTTTATCCACCGCCCCCCTTTTTTAAACACAGAAAGGTTTAATTGACTCACAATTTGTAGAGGTTTAGTCCATAGTTGGCTGTCTCCAGGGCAGGGTGGCATGGCAGAGGAGAAACAGTCCGTGGCAAGCAGAAGGCATCAAAGCAATGAAGTAGCAAGCTACAAGCAACCTCCACCCTATTTATAATAGTATCCTAATAGGTGTGAGGTGGTATTGTATTGTGCTTTTATTTTGTATTTCCCGATGATGATGAGCTTTTTGTCATTTGCTGATTGGCTATGTGTATAACATTTCATGCTTTACCTTAAAAATAATGTGTATGAGTGTGCATAGGAGTATTGTTCCTTATCTTCCTGACCCCACCCCAGTGTGGAGGAAAGAAACTTTCCAGGGAAAAGTACTTGGATAAATAAAGTGCATGGTTCTTGTGATGCACAGTATGTTTATGATCTTGTTTTCTCTGCATGAATACAGTATTTATTTCTTTTTTATATGTATGTCTTATCTACAAATAGATAACTATTCCTGATACTCTTTGTTACTGGACTAGAATGTTTGAGAGAAACCTGTGGTTGCAATTTATTTGATGGCTTTCCAGTCCAGCCTTATAGAACTTTTCAAAAGTTTAAGGTTCAGTTGCATTGCATTTCATTAAGAGGCCTAGGTTAAACTTCTTCCCTAGGTCTTCTCTTTCTTTCTTTAGTGTTTTAGTGATAGGAAGCTGAAAGATATCCGTAGTATTTAGAAAGAATGCTGATAGCATTTTCAGTGCTTCTAACAAAGTACCTAGTTCCTATATTTTTGTCTTCTTTCTCCAGACTCTTCCATTAGAACAACACAGTAAATATATGAGGAAATAAGGGGCAAGGTGTTAAAGTAACTTCTCATTTTAGGAAACCTAATAATTTAGTTTATGTTAACTGAAGTTTTCAGCACACTGTTGGTGAAACACTGAGCGCATTTTCATTTTTCTGTGATGTCTCAGGTGTTTACTGACTAGCACTTTGGAGAGTGCATGCTTAGCTGGCAAGTCCATAACAGAATGAACTGTGTGTTCCCTTTCCTACGTACCGGAGACCAATCTCCCTGCTTTGGACAGTCCAGCATAGTAAGCTTTGTCATAGATTATTATCCATAGCTACGTAGTGATTTTAAATCCACAATAAATCTAGGATGGAGGAAAAAAGAAAAGTCTCATAAAAGCAGTGAAACTTTCTTATTCATCTTAAAGGTTTTTAAGAATTGTCTGTTTTTACTGTCTTTTTATATAGTGCTCATTTAAAAGTAAAAAGAATTTTTGTTTTCTTTATAAAAACCTACATTCCTAATGACCTCAATATAATTAAGAGGAAATATGTTGAAAATTCAGTTTCTTTATTCTCAGATTTACCTTTGAAAGCTCAGAAAAAAATGTGTTTTCTTGTATTAATTATTCATAGTCCTTTTCTTCATACCAGCCCAGTAGTACTGACAAGAGTCATCCTTGCAGATTACTTGCATCCCTTGAAATGTTGGAGCCAAAAATGAAGAGTAGGTTCCTTTATCAGGTAGGACTTACAAAGCTAGATCAGTTTATACAAATTCCCTCTTTTTTTTTTTTTGGTACCAGGGATCGAACATGGGACCTTGTGCTTGTGAGGCAGGCGCCAGAACCACTGAGCTAAATCCCCAGCACAAATTCCCTCTTGATTTGAATTTAAGCAAGTTCATTGTTTGTAGAGCAGCAAGTTAGAACCAAAAGAATTTGATAGTTTTTTTCATTCAAAAATTTTGCTGAACTCCAAATGGTGACCATTCAAAAGAAAGCATTGCCTATATAATTTAGGAATAAGTGACAGCACAACTTTTATGTTTTTATGTATCGGTTAAGAAATTAAAACAAAAAAGTTAAAAAGAAGTGGCAGACATTAATAACACCTCACCCCTAAATACTTCAGCATGTGTCCTGTAAAAACAAGAATATTAGGACCAGGGATTTAGCTCAGTGGTTCCGCCACCTACCTCACAAGCACAAGTCCTGAGTTCAATCCCTGCTACAAAAAACCCCCAAGAATATTATTCTATATAAAGTCACAATACTATTTGGACACTCTAGAAAGCTAATATCATACAACAATAGTAAGTTAATATACAGCCTGTTTTTCTAATTTTTCCGGTTCAACCCACAATATTGTTTTATAACATTTTGTCTCCCTAATCCTGGATCCAGCCAAGGATTACCCATTATACTTGATTACTTTAATCTGGAACAAACAATATCTCCTCTCCTCTTGTTCCTTTATAATATTAACATTTTTTGAGGAGTCTAGACCAGTTGTAGAATGCTCCATAATCTAATATTATCTTGTCTTGTCTTTTCGGGGTTGGCTTTTTTTGAGACAGGGTTTTGTTATGTAGTTTAGGCTGGTCTTGAACTCACTACATAGCCTAGGCTGGCCTCAAATTTGTAGAGATCCTCCTGCCTCAGCCTCCTGAGTGATTGGATTACAGGAGTGTGCCACGACTCCCAGCTTTTTCTTCTTAATTAGTTTCCAGTGAACCATTTTTGATAGGAATACACCAAGTACGCAATACATATTTCCTATTATGTCAAGTCCAGAGGCACAGTAATATGAGTTTGTCTCATTATTGGTGTTGAAGTATGGTTATGATGCAAATCACTTAAGGGGATACTGATTAGATCACTTCACTGGAGAGGTCTGTTTTTCTCTTTTCCATTCCCTTTATTAGATGGATCTTGCTCAGGATGACCTGAAACTTGGCAATCCTCCAGCCTAAGCCTCATGAGCAGCTGGAGTTGCAGAGACACACCACTGAGCCCAGCCTCCGTTTTCTTTTTTGTTAATTTCATAATCTTTGGGGTGGTAATTTGAGAAGGTGTGGCTTTTTTTTCCCCATAAACTTTCACCTGATGGCTTTAACTTGTTCATTGCTTTGAATTTCTCTAGGAGTTTTTTGATGGATGTCAGTGTATCTGTGAAGCCCTGAGAAATGTTTTTGCATGCATGCATTTTCCATGACCCCCAAAATATTTACAAGATCTTTCCCTCTATTGTTGAGTTGCCTTCTACAAGTTTCAGTGCATTAGAAAAATGTGCTATAAATGGTGGGTTTCTAGGAGCTGAGAACCAGTCCTGATCATCTAATTTTCCCTATCACCTAGCCCCACACTGTAGAGCCAGGTACTTAATTTTTGTTGTTTGTTTGAGAACAATTTGTTCTGGCCTTTTACTTATCTCAAGGCAAACATTTGGGTCTTTTATGTTTGATATAAACTGTCCTAGAAAATCAAGCAAAAAGGCTTAGCCCCTGGATTATGGTGATCTCTTTGGAGATTTTTGGGTACAAGCAGTTCGATTTGTGTCTTTATTGACACTGAGGTAAATTTAGATAATTTGAAAATGACTTAAAACACTATAACATATATTTTAATTGTCTTAACTACTGGTTATATCTGTAAGAATTTTCACAAGTGCAAAATAGCTCTTTTTGACTGTGTAGACAGAGTGCCTAGGTGAGTAACTCAAGGGAACCTTAAATCTTTTATTAGATTAATATGGAATACCTATAGAAGTGGTTAATTCTCAATTTTCCCTGCTCCACCAAGGAGCAGTGTGGAATTAATCATGGGAGTGGCCAGGTGTGTTTGTTTAGCCCGCTGAGGAGCCTGTTTGCTTTGCATGAAAATGTGTCTGTTGGGTGACTGACAATACAAGCTAACTTTTGAATAGTGTACTTTAAAATATATACCATTTAATTCAGATGACCCTGAGAAAGTAGATATTTTTATTGTAATTACACAGGTAGGGAAAAGAGATTTGAAGAAATTAAAGCAGCCAATAGCAAACATTGTAAGGAGCAGAGGCGGAAGAACCTTGAAGTTCTAAGTTTCTTGCTCTGGCATTCTAGGGAATCTGAATATAAAAGCTTTGCCCTTGCTCTCAAGGGCCTTTAAATCTATCAGGCCTGTCTTCTATAAATAGATTATGCACAGCAAATTGAGGGAAGCATTAAGGAAGTATAGAAAAAGCCAAAATAATTCACACATGCAGGGTTAGTATGATGAAGGTAGCATGTGGAGAGGAGGGGAACAAGAGAGTAACCAACATGGATATGGGAGAGGTCAGGGCCTAGTGTAGAAGAGGAGTGGTCTGGTTTGGCTAGAGGGGCTGGACCTAAGAGATAGGTTAGGGCCAAACTGGGAAGCACTTGAGCACCATGGGGAAGAAGCTGTTCTGCAGGAGATGAAAAATGTCCCACAGCAGACTCCCCGACGGTGTTGAATGCTTAATTTTTAAGGTACATATTGTATGTCACTGATGCTTCACTGTAATGCCAGCAGTGTACTGTATCTGTTTTACAAATGAAAAACTAAGGGCTCACTAAGATTAAGCATAAAACATCAGTAGCTGGAGCTTGACTCAGACTCCGTCTGTCAGATTCTAGAGCCTGTCCTGCTTCCATTGTGATACTGTGTCACTTCTCTCAACAGGTCACCCAATAAGTTCTTAATTTTCTGACAAGAATATGACTGTTAGAAAAGAATATTTTCAAAGTTCTGAGAGGACTGCTGTCTTCTGTATAATCATGTTAAAGAATATAATCGCTGCCAAAACTAACTTATATTGCACTTTCATTTGGATGATGAGAAGTTGAGGAATCAAATGTTTTATTTACACACTCATGACATCAATGGATGATCATAAATGCTTTTCTTTTCATTTTCAGTGTCTAAGCTGTATTGGCCCTAAATAAATCTTAGGTGGAGGGAAGCTCAGCTCCCAGGGGCATTTAATATGCATAAAGTAGTAGTATTTTCCCTAGCTAAAATATGTTTCTTCTGGCAGGTTTCCTACTTATAAAAGACAATGACTACTGATGAAGGTGCCAAGAACAATGGAGAAAGCCCAGCAGCCACTGTTGCTGAACAGGGAGAGGATGTCACCCCCAAAAAAGACAGAGGGGTATTAAAGGTGAGGCCACAAAAGTGAGTAACATACAAGGAAATCTACTGTCTGAAAGACTGTTTTATCAGTTGTGTGGATGGGACGGGTAATATTTATTAAGGCTTACTAAGTGCCAAATACCATAGCTAGATTCTTATTTCTTCTCCTTAACGCTGGAGTTTTTATTTTAATCTCAGATTGTAGATGCTGAAACTGAGCCCTGGCTAGCTAAATTAGCTTGCCCTGATATCATACAGCTTAGTAAGTGCAGATCTTGGGTTCAGGTCCAAGTTATATCTGGCTCCAAAAGGCTGTGTCTCCCTTGTCTCAGAATATTCAAATGAGTTACTAACTTAATATATCATTTTTTAAAAGTATATTAAAGCTAGCTAGTGATAATTTTAAAGACTTTTTAGAGGGGGAAAAAGTTAAATTGTAAAGTTCAAAAGGATATTTTAACATACTAATAGTGTTCCTGTGCACAGTGAGTATGGGGGCATTATCAGATAATATATCTTACTTTCGAACTTGCTTTCCTACTTATTAAAACTTGCACTTTTGGGGGAGGTTATTTTGAGACAGAGTTTCACTATGTAGTTCAGGGTGGCCATGAACTCACTATGTAGCCCAGGCTGGCCTCAAACTTGTGGTGATTCTCCTGCCTCAGCCTCCCAAATGCTGGGATTACAAGCATGCACCATCATGCCAGGCAAACCTACATGTAGTTTTTCACTGTATAGTTAATCACTTTCACCTGTTTTTATTGGTATCTCTCAATGGTGTTGTGATACAATAAGAGCACCTCTTGATTCTTCCATTTTATAATACTGTACACTGAACCTGAGAGAGATCAAGATGCTTTCACACGAAGTAATTTCTCCTACATCAGTATTATAGAAACAAGTTTCGTAGAGTTGTTTTGTTTTATTTTTGAAAAGATCATCTTACACATTCTAAGTATTACTGCTATGTTTCAGTGCCTCCTGTGTCAGCAGTATGAGTTTGTTTTGTCTAATCTTGCTTATGTGAAAGCATTTCTTCAGTGCCTGATCTCTTTGAAGATATATGTATTCCTATTAGCTTGCTATGTGCCAAGCCAAATCTAGGGACTGGCGGGTGTAGAATAAGAGCTTTTGTGCTATGGATTTATATCATGCTGTCTTCTTGGGGAGGGTTCTAACCGTTTAGCTATAATTATTCATTCTGAACTCCAGGGTGCTTCTAGAGACAGTGGAGATTCTGTAGCTGTCCTCAGCATCTATCTCATCTTTTCAGGGTGCCCATATTCAAAGGACAAGGTCCCTAACTTGCCTGAGACTCTGGGTCTTAGTGTGTTTTCTTTTGCTGTAATAAAATCCCTGAGGCAGGGTGAGTTATAAAGACTAGAGGTTTATTTTGGCCCACAGTTCTGGAGTCTGTGTGCATCTTCTTTGCTTCTAGTAGGGACATCAGTTCATGATAGGCAGAGGAGCAGGCAGGCACGTGAGGAAAGACAAAACACAAAGAGTGCACTAGTTATAGCAACTTGCTATGATTAATCCAACAAGAAACACATTAATCCCACTAACTACCTAATTGCTTCTTAAAGGCCCCACTTTTTGATACTCCAATAGTTGACAATCAAACTTCAGTATGAGTTTCAGCATGGACAAACCATATTCAAACCATAGCACCCTGTGATGCTCTAGGGAAAAAATCTAATAACAAGAGCTTTAGGTTTATAAGGAAATTTTTCAATTAGAAGCCTTTTTTTTTTTAAAATTGTTTTGTGATACTGGGGATCAAACTCAGGACCTTGCGCTTGCCAGGCAGTTGTGGCACCACTGAGCTACATCCCCAGCCCTAGAAGCCTTTTTAAAAAATCATGTTACTTATCACTGTCTAGAGCCTCAGGTCACTATGAGGCTTTTGGTTGAGATTAAAAATAGACCTAGTCAGCACTTAGGAGGCTGATGCAGTAGGGTTGCCACAAGTTCAAGGCCATCCTGGGCTAGTGAGTTCAAGGCTTGCCTGGATTACATAGTAAGACCCTGTCTCAGTCAATCAGTCAATAAAAAATAGACCTAGTAAGTATATGACCTAAGGCAGTGGTGGCAAACCTATGGTTCATGTGCTGCCATAGGTTTATACATTGAAGACTCTAAAAGGTTTGCCATCACTAAAGCAGTTCAGTTAACCTCTCTATGATTGTTTCCTGTCTGTAAATTTTAGAGAAATACTACCAGTATCAGGATAAGGTAAAGCACTTACTGCAGTGTCTGTCCTATAGTAGTCTCTCTTAATATTATACCCTTAAAAAAACCACAAAAACAAAAGCAGTTTTGGAAAGTCAGTAACTCTCTGGATTTATATTTTTCTTTTTTTTTTTTTTGGTACTGGGAATCAAACTCAGGTCCTTATGCTTTCGAGGCAGGTGGCGGAACCACTGAGCTAAATCCCCGGCCCCGGATTTATATTTTTCCAATGAATCAAGGCTAGATTCTGTCTTTGGATCAGCTCCAGACTTAGGCACATGTTTGTCTTGCTGGGGACACCTGCAGTGCTACCAGGTGCTGTGCTGATGGACGTCTGACTCCCTGGTGGCCATTCATCCTGTATCCTCACTGGTGTGTTTACAGTCTTTTAGGTGCAGGATTCTTGCTGATGACCAAGCACAGGGTTCCCAAACATCACACACATGCCCATCACCGTGAACACTTTTAGAATGTCATGTGGTTTCTGTTAGATTAATGTTTTCTGAAATTTTCTTTTTCTTTTGAAGTTCAAGAAGGGCAGCAATGTTCCTTTTCCTTTAAAGAATGTCTGGGATTTTGAGGTGAGAAAGTTGTGGAATCTTAAGTTCACAGTGTTTATATGGTGTTTATATGGGGAGGGATTGAGTGGAAAGGGAAGTACATCTCAGAGAAGAATTTAAAAGCAAATAATTGAGTTCCATAAATAAAAATTCAAACCCTGCCCCAAAAAAGGTGTTCATTGGATGTTCACTATTATCTTCTGTTATCTATTAAAAATGATTGATTTGGGGCCAGGGATTCAGCTCAGTGGCACAATGCCTGCCTTTCAAGCGCAAGGTCCTGAGTTCGATCCCTGGTACCAAAAAAAAAAAAAAAAAGATTGATTTGGTCTAGATGATTGACAGGATAAATTACACCACCACATGCTTGGATTTGATTTTCTTTTCCACGAACTGACCAACTGCATTAGCAGCTTGCTATGCCAAGAACAAAATAAATGCTGAATACTAGATTTACGATAGCTAAATATTTTTCTGCTTGGACCCTTTTTTTTTAGCACTTCTTTTACTAGAAAACATGTTATATCAAACTGTGCAGTTATACTGATGTATTTTGCAGATTGAATATTTTTCACATAATAAGTGTAACCTGTTATATCACCATATTGGGCTTTTTGAAATTAAACCAAACTGGCAAAATGTAGACATAATCTAATGTTGTTAGCAAAGGAGGAAAGTAAGTAAAATTGTACTTCTGAAAATTGGCTTTATTTCTTATTGACTATTTTTCCAAGTCCAACAGTCTTTTTGGCCTATTTCAATTTGTAGGTGGACTAACGCACAAGTTTGCATTTTGAGAGATGTTAGTGTACACATATAGAGCCTTAAACCAATGAAGCAAGATGTGTTGGTTAATTCTTTTGATGGAATAATGTAATAAATAAAAAGCAATACAATTAAATACAATATAAAGGGGGACAGGGATTTAGCTCAGTGGTTTTGCCACCTGCTATGCAAGCACAAGGACCCGAGTTCGATCACCAGTACCAAGAATAAATAAATAAAATAAAATAAAATATATATATATGTAATATAAAGGGTTACCAAAGGACAGTTTTCTAACAGGGAGGGTTATTGAAAGAACTGAAGGAGGCCTGTAGTGAGGTCGGACTAGAGGATGTTTGCAAGTCTGCCTGGTGACTGGGAATAGACTGTGCTGCCTTTCTCTCTCCTGATTATGAGTAAAAAGTTCCACCTCCCTTTCCTTGGTGTTTGTTTTTTCTAGATTGTCAAAAGAGTGGGGAATAGTGAGGAAAAACCAATGATTGGTGACAAAGTTTACGTCCATTACAAAGGAAAATTGTCAAATGGAAAGAAGTTTGATTCCAGCCACGATAGAAATGAACCATTTGTTTTTAGTCTTGGCAAAGGTAAGAGGGTATTTTTTGAGTGTATTTTGCTTAGATTTATTACTATTTGTACTATATAGGAGTAACAGAACATATCCTTGCCAAAAGTATTTTAGGGCAGTAGTGCTCAAAGTAAGCTAGAGGGGTCTCTCAGGTCCTTTTTGGGGGCTATTTACACAGTATCAGTTCTTTTCATAACAGTACCAAGATGTAATTTATCTCTGTAGCCTTTTAATGTGTTGGCTTTTGCACTGGTGATGCAAAACCTGAAGTAATGGAAATGTTAGTGCCTTAACACATCAGGCGGGAACACTTGTTTATACCAGTAATCATGATATTTGCATTGCCTCTCATATATGAGTGAAGGTGAAAGACTAATTTCAGTTTAAGAATGTCCTTAATAGTTAGCAGAAGTTATTTTATTAAGGCTCAGTCCTTGGGTTTCATGTGGTTTGGTTGCTGTGTGACAGACAGGCAGGCATGTGTAGAGCACTTTTGTGTGCCAATTACTGTAGTTGTCTTGAGAAAGATCACTTGCACACTTGTTTTAGTTGAGACTTGAACTAGCTGACTTGAGAAGGAAAAAATGGAAACAAAGCTTTTTACATAGGGAGGGAAGGAGGCTTGAGGGGAAAATGGGATAAAATAAAATAAAATTTATTTAAAAAACAAACTATTTTTACTTGAACAGGCAAACTATCAGGCTTAATTATTCACTAGTTAGCAAGTATTTTCCTGAAAATGAATTGAACCTGTCATTTCAAGGAAGACTACTGACAGTATTTGTTGAATTTTTAACTAAAAATTATAGTTTTGAAAAATTTATCTGCCACTGTGATCTTAACAGGCTTCTGAAACTTAAAAGGCTTTTCTAGTGATATCAGTATGTACTAATGAATGTAATTCCTAGATCACACAAGGAAATGTATCACAATTTAGAGGATCTGTGTAACTCAGTGAACCAATATTTACCCAATGACCATTGTAAGGTGTATGAGGCCATGTGCAGATAAACAATCCATTCAAAATACAAGCTAGACCAGAGGCTTTTCAGGTAACCCAAGAGGGAAGGTTCACTGGTGTGATTTTAGATTCCACACTGCAACTGGCCTTTATGAAACTTACCACGTGTCTGCTTTTGATAATTATATATTCACAAATAAAGTGCTCCTTCCAAGGACCCGAGTTCGATCCCTGGTACCAATAAAGTGCTCCTTCCTTTTCCAAATATCTCTGTGGGTTTGGATTGTTTTCTATTTACTCCCAAAAATGGAACAGATAAACTGTAGAAGTAGATTTGAGAATCCCGTTATCTTATTAAATCAGTCACAGTTTGCATTTGTGAAACTAGAAAATGATGCCATTGTTCTCACTCCTTTTGGTATGGGGTGCTGGGAATCAAACTCAGGGCCTCATGCATGGTAAGCAAGTGCTATACCACTGAGCTACACCTTCAGCTCTTAAATTTTTTTGAAGAATATAGTTTTAAGTTTTTCTAGTTGAGTGATTTAACATGGGATTTTTCTTTTTCAGTGAATTTAAAATGAATTTTAATTTTTGTATGGTAAGTTTCAATAGATGTATAAGAGCTCTTTTCTTTTTTTTGAGACAAGGTCTCGCTAAGTTGAACTCCCGGTGATCCTCCTGCCTCAGCCTCCCAGGTGCTGGGATTACAGGCATGTGTCACTACTCCTGGCCGAATGTGCCACCATGCCTGGCCCACAAGAGCTCTTTCTTTTTTTTTTGTACCAGGGATCAAACTCAGGACCTTACGCTTGCAAGGCAGGCGGCAGAATCACTGAGCTAAATCTCTGGCCCAAGAGCTCTTTTTAATTCTCAAATTTTTTTTTTATTCTGAGGACTGAACTTAAGGCCTAGTGGGTGCTAAGTGCAGGTTCTACCTCTGAGCTCTACCCCAGCCTCAGTAGCAGTCCTCAGTTTTCAAGACATAAAAGGGTCCTGTGGAGAAAAAGGTTGAGGACTGCTGTTCTCAAGAATGAAATATGATTAAAGTTCTTTTCAGATGTTTTAAAAAAGAATTCAACTAATTTGGAATTCTTACTTTCTTTAATCACATACATCAAATTGAACTTTGTGGACCATGGGTTTGTTGGAAGTTAGTGGCCGAATTGTATTCATATTTGTCGCAACAGTTCTACTTCGTTCCTAGACTAAATGTGGGAGGTAAGAAGGGGACAATCCTCGTGTCTACACCGTGGCTCAGGATTGACCACGATTCCTTTCTCTTTCTCACTCCATGTCTAGTTGAATTGCTAACTAAAGGTGGGTCTGGAAAGAAGATAGCAAATGAGAAACTCTGCCACTCTGCCTTCCCTGGTACCTGTTGTTTGTGTGTCGTGGTGACATCCACTTCCTGTCCACCTGTGCTCTTGCCAACCTTCAGTGCTGGCTGTGCCACTGCCCCTTTCACCTCAGGTCCTTAGTGAGTTAATGGCTCCTGTGATGTTAACTTGTGTTTGAATAGAGAGCAATCAAAGTCAAATGCAAAGTCTCTTTCTTGACATAGGAGACAATTATAACGTCATTTTAGAGGTTTTTTTCCTTGTAGTAATTTAGGGATGTGAACTTCTTGGGCTATTAGAATGGCAACAGCATCGTTATTTAATTTCAGTGACCTCAGAGTGACTGCCTCATCAGAACTCCATGTTCCTGCTGTCCTTTGTTCTACCTTTAGAAATTCTGTTTCAAGGAAGTTGAAACTTAAAGATAAGAAGTCACCTGTCAGCAGTTATCTTGGAAAATGGAATTAACAATTGCTAAGACTTTCTGCTCCCAGATTATCTAATAAAATACTACGTTGAATGAGTCTTTCATGTTTCCCAGAATTTTAAGCAGAGTGAAAGGATTTTCTGAGTCTTTCTTTAAAACACAGCGTGAGAGGGCCAGGGATTTAGCTCAGTGGTTCCAGCACCTGCCTCGAAAGCACGAGGTCCTGAGTTCGATCCTGGTACCAAAAAAAAAAAAAAACACAGCATGAGAGAGAAAAGAGGCAGCCTTCACTTGACGTCCTACCTGTGACACCCTATCTAGAGTCAGTGTGGGCCCGAGGGAAGAGTGTCCAGTAAGATGTTGGGAAGCCAGTGTTCCTGTCCTCACTGTCCTGTGTGGGTGTAAATAAGCCACTTGGCTTTCCCTGCTCCTCTAAGAAGGAGGAGTCTGGAGAGTGGTCAGATTAGTCCTGAGTTTGTGGCTCCATTCTTGTACCTCTATAAAGAATGCAGGCACAAATCTGGGCATGATAGCACATGCCAATAGTCCCAGCACTCTCGGAGGCTGAAGCAGGAGGATTGCAAGTTCAAGCCAAGTCTGGGCAACTTAGCAAGACCCTGTCTCAAAATTAAAAAACAGACCAAAAAACCCAGAACTGGTGATATAGCTTAGTGAGAAGGCCCTGGGTTCAATACCTAGTAACCCAGTACCACACACTCACACACACACACACACACACACACACACACACACACACATCATAGAAGACTAATGGTAACACAGTAACAGGGACCTTCAGAGGCCTCCTCATGGTTGCCTATCTATCCTAATAAGAAATACTAGGAAAAAGCAATTTATCTCTTATAAAGTCTCTGTTCAAATTGGCTATGAAATAAGAAAGATTAGTTAGGCAGTGGATAGTTTCAGATAGTTACATAGCAGAAGCTACTTCATCAAAATGAAGAAAAATAATATAAACGGGCAACAGCATAAATGCTATATGTTGAACTTCCTTGATCCTTTATATGGTACTTCTCCCAAGGGGATACATAGAAATACTTTAAAGGAAAGTTCCATGCTAGTCTTGGGATTCTACTGTGACTTTAGTAAAATTTTAAATAGAATTAAACCTGTTTATACTGCTCACAATGAAGAAATAACATACCATAAGGTATATACACACATTTGAGCTATATTTACATGCAGTACATACTCATTGCTTCTTCTGTACTATCTTTTGAACTCTGTTTTACTTTCCTCACCTAAAGTGATGATTGTGTATGCTCTTACTGTATGTTGCTATGTAAAATATTATTTTATAGTGTTGAGATTAGGTAAGATAAGGCACACCATTGATTGTTAGGCATTGAGCCTAACACACAGTAAACACTCGGATGCTTAAAATTGATGTTACAGTATTAGGATTATTGACTGGCTTTATAGGCTTGGTAGAAATTGTTTTATAGTAGTTTAGATCCTAACTATTTACTGCATACATGCAAGTCTTTTGAAATAATGCTTTATTCCTCTTTTTTGGCCCCCGGAAGTAGAGAAAGATAAAAACTAAATTAATTTAAGAGAATTGATTATTACCACTATGGAATGTGTTAGAGAGATTAGAATAAAGAGGTGATGATTTCATCACTAGGTTTTAACCAAATACTACATGTTCTGAATTCCTAGAATTGTATCCATAACCTCTTTTTAAAAAGCTAAAATGAACATAGCTTAAGATTTTCATATATACTTCTATAAAAGGAATTCTGTTGTCTCTTCTCCCCCAAGCAAATATATTATCAGTAAAATGAAGGAGGGAGATAGATTTTGGAGATGAAAGAATTACTTCTACTCCTAAGTACTAAAGTTTCACTCCACTCACCCCTATAAAGGTCTGGTGAATATGGGTTGCATTCTGAGTGATGCCTGCTTCATTGAAGTTGTTTTTAATGCTCTTTGTAACATGGCTAGGAATTATTACAGTAAAAATTTTATCAGCCAGGGATAGTGGCACCGCCTGTAATTCCAGCTACTAGGAAGGCTGAGGTAGGAGGATCTCAAGTTTGAGACCAGTCTGAACAATTTAGTGAGATTTTGTCTCGAAAAGGGAAGAGGATATAGGTCAGCACTCGCTGAATTCAAACCCCAGTACTGCCAAAAGTGGAAAAAAACAAAATTCCTGTCTATGACATTCTACCCCTAAATTTAAGAAGAAAAGCAAACCAATAATTTTAGATTTCACCTACTTATGCTTCCCTTTTAATATTGAGATTAAGCCATGATGAAGTACTATC